ATCATGCAATATATATATATTTCTATTTTATTTCCATATGCAGCACGATCGAAATTCTGCGATCGTGACAATGTCACAATTTAATTTTTGTTTTTGTTTTTTTTTGTTACACGATTTTCAATGCGAACGGAAATTCTAGGATACGTATTTGTACAATCACTAGACAACAACAATTGCATTTTATTATTTCCTAGAGATGTCACAATTAAACTGATCATCAAAACGGGTAATTAAAAGGCAATGTAAGTTTCACACCTGGTCAAATATTATGGCCATGGTAAGAGTACTATAAAATACGATTTATGATTATATAGATATCTAATAGCCTAATAGACTTAAGAAAATAATGTACTATTGTTATGGAGATAGATATAGATATAGATATAGATATAGATATAGATATAGATATAGATATAGATATAGATATAGATATAGATATAGATATAGATATAGATATAGATATAGATATAGATATAGATATAGATGTAGATATAGATATATATATAGATATTGTGATAGATTAATTTTAAAAATATAACAACATCGATCTAGCTACAGTTCTTAGCTCAAAATATATATACTTATAGATTTCACCAGAATTGAATTTTTTGTCAAAAGTTTAATAATAATTTGAAGGTTATCTATGTTTTTATAAGGTCAATTCATTTTATTATAATAAACAAGCTCAAAGATCTCCTTAATTGGCTTAGAATTTGTTTTGCATGTCCGATCTTGGAGCAAGATGAATGCACTTGGCATGCCCAACTAGGAAATGTCGCATGTCAACTTTATAAATAATTGCAATTAATTGCGATTAACATGAATTTGCATTTAACTTACGTTTAAATCAGTTGGCCAAGTTGTGGTGGCTGCTAACTAATAGCTAAATATATAAACTTATATATTTATATATATAATGAAATATATATAACGACGAAGATGAATGTGAAGTTCGAGGAAGCGCCAAGGCGTTGTAAAATACACGAATTATGTCAAATTTGCAATCATAAACAATAAATTGAACTTTTTCGCACTGACATTAAGCAGATACGCGGCGTTTGCTTGTGTAATAAATTGTATATAGATGCTTCTACCGTATGCATATATATGTTTAATCGCAAAAAAATTGTATATACATTTGCTGTTTCCGTATGCGAAACAAAAGCGCCGAAAAAATCGTTAAAGTGATTTTGCCTGCCGATCACTGATCACGTTCAGTGCGTGATATTTGATCGCTGGGCGATTGCACTTAGAGCTCTGCTTGCCGCGCAGCCAAAAATACAACTGCTCGCTTACAAGTCCCGAGACGAACTGTGCTCAAGCACTGCCAGCACGACGGAAACCGAAAGTCCAAGTCCAGTTAGTGAACGTTCGGCCAGTCGCACGACACGTCGTGCCGAGTTGCATCGATCTTCGGCTTCGGCCGCTGTCGCTGCGCACTGCGCGTCGTAGAACAAGTTCGCTTTCTTTCTGCTTGGGTGTGAGCTTTACTCCTGCTTCTCTGCTGCTGCTGATGTCGATGCTGCTTCTGCTGTTCGCTCTGTGGCTATTGCTCGTCTGCTGCTGCGCTGCTGGTGCTGCATCTCTGCTGCTGCGCTGTCGCTGCACTGCCATGGTACGCTACTCTGTCGCTGCCTTGGTACGCTACTCTGTCGCTGCCTTAGTACGCTACTCTTATAGTTAATATATATACGTATAAGAGAACTAACTCATATTATATACCTATTCTTGATTCAATTCTCTCGCTTATCACACAAATCTCTACATTTTGTGTAAATTTTCTTCTAATATGTAATTGATTCAAGTGTATTCAATAGTCGACTATACAAAAAACTTCTGCTGCTTGTTGTTTGAACGTTGCGCCCCCGCAAGCTAGATGCACACACATAGATGTGAGTTGCTGTTGTTGTTGCAGTTGCGGTTTATGCTTTTTATGGCACTGTTGTTCTTCCTCTACTGTTGCTTCGTCATGTTCTTCTTCAGTGGCGAGTTGTTAACTTAAATATTTGCGCTTGGCCATGCCGAGCAGCCCATTTAGAGACGATCTTGCACACAGATGCCTCAAGAACTTGTTTTAGCTGCCCTTGCCCAAATGCAGTGACATCTAGCTGCCCCCCCTTGGCCAGAAGGATTTGGTCAAGCATTCAGCTGCGCTTTATAACTGATCACAAAAGGTATTAAATGGGGGCTATTAGCTGCTGTTTATTGTGTGCAGGAACACCCACGCGCTAAAGGTGATAAGCGAGAGAGTGACAAAGAGAGAGAGAGAGGGGGATAGCTGTTGGCAATTAACTGATAACAATTCATTTGCGTTTCGTGTGGGCGCCCCACATCAGAGACATCTTCCATTCATTTTCGATTATGTTTTTTTTTTTTGGTTAATTTGACAGCCGAAATTTGATGAGCCGAAAAAAGTCAAGTCAAGTTTTTAAGTGGCAATCGTATCGAAGCGTTTCAAAGCGAATCAAATCGAATCGAACCGAAAACTGTGAACAGGTAAACACTCCATAGCAAACAATCTTCAAGATCTTCCACAATTTATGCCAGCTTATCAGCCAGGTACACACACTTTAACAAGCTCTTTGTAACGCCCCATTAATATGGACCGCACCAAATTTATTTAACTATTCGAAATTAACTTTTATGCTTCCAGTGAAAAGCAATTTCAATTGCTCTTTGAGAAATTACCGCTCAGAAAATGCTATTAAAATTAATTTAGCCAACTCTTCTGCTCTCTGCGAATGATCTAGAAACGCTCTCACTTTTGCCTTTAGATAAAAAAAATATTTAATAAAAAAAATTAACATAAAATAGAATTAACTAGAAAAGCACTTAAAAGATTGATTGAAGTGACGACTACGTAATACCCTGTTTACATTTTAATTACTAAAGAGAAAAAAACAGGCTAGTCTTAAACATTTTTGATCTAACTTAGAAGATATATTATTTTTAAAAATATATGTTTATTAATTTTTCCATATTTAGCTTCAATTGAAGCGCGACAATTTTTCAGTCAACCCTCGTTTTTCGCTCGAATTGTTATTAATTATATTCTCATTTAAGCGCACATTTAAACTCTGCCTTATGGGCTCCAAAACTGTAGCATTTTAAATAGATTTTAAACAAGTTGTGCATGTCAAACTGTAAACATGCCAAATATAAATCTAAAACTGTAAAAATTTGATTTGAATTGGAGCTGGAAAAGCTATGAGTGTAAAACAGGCTGAAAACAGAGTATTTAAAAAAGGGCATAATTGAAGATGGAGCTGAGTTGAAGGCTAAAAGTTTGATGTGCACTGAAGTTGGACAAGCTGCGACTGTCAAACTGTATAAAAATAAGATATCAAAATACTACCAAAGTTTTAGATACCTCTGCCTATATTATAGCTAAGATGCCTATGAAAACAGAGTATCTAAACAGAAACATAATCGAAGTTGGAGGCTAAAAGCATAATCTGAACTGCACTTGGGAGAGCTGTGACTGTCAAACTGTAGTGTCTAACTGAGTTACCTCTATATGTTACATAGCAGATATGCCCAAAAAAAGCAGTGTATCTAAGAGCCTATGCAAATAGGCTTAGAACTTCGATTTGAATGGGCGCTGGAGCTGGGGCAGCATGTGTCAGCAGAATCGGGAGTTAGGATCATTTTATTATGGAACTGACGTTGTCTGCATTGCAATTTGCTTGTTTTGTTTGCGCCGTCACGCAGACACAGTTTGTTATGTTTTCTCATTTTTTTTTTTCTCTCTTATGGGCTGGGCCGACAATTTGGAGCAATATGCAATGTCATATGGTTCCCCATAGCCCCTTGTGCGTCTCGCTACCTGTCTGTGGGCCACAGAGTTGGCCATAAATCGCGCTCATGTGTCCGAGCAAATTGTCAAATGTATGCGCTGAAAAGATCTTTTGACACCGTTCAGCTGCGCTGGCATAGAGCTCCATAGATAATTTATTTGATCACGCTTTCCCAGACGATGCGACGTTGACGGAAGCGCACGAATCGACAATTCGCCAATTCGCCAATTCGAGATTTCACACAGACAAAGTGAATCTCGACTCGAATTTGTTAGCATTAGACACTGCGATCAATTGATCAACTGATCACTGATCACTGATCAGCAAGCGTTGATCGTCGCGGCCTTGACGCCTTATTAAGCATGAAAAAGCACAACAATTATAAACAACTTCCTGGTTGCTAAGGATAAGCTATAGCTGACAAGCCACTGATTAATTCTAGACACTGTTTAAGAATTTCGATGAGAAAAACAAGAAAATGATATGAAAATTCCGTTTGATGCGTTTTCGCGCATACCTCAGACCAAATTTCGAGTATTATTTTCCATCCAAGCCATTTTTAAATTGAAATTACGCGAACTAGTTCCATAAACAAGTTCATTTAAAGAACATGAGTTTTCACTCATTTTACCCTTCATTAATTTTATTGATACTTTCTTGAGCTACTGGTTCGCCATAACAGAGGCAAACTGAACTAGTTCCGACAAATATGGTTCCTTTAGATAACCAAATTGTGCACATTTCCAAACTAAAAGCTCAATTTGAAACCGATATGATTCTGACTCCTGAAATTTTTGGTTCTTTTGAACTACTGGTTCCAATCTGTTAACAAATTCAATGCAATGAAACTAGTTATTTTTATAAACGTCTTTACAACAAGGACTCAGTTATGAAAATGAAATCGATGGAACTAGTTCTTTTTTTTTAAGAAATTGAAATCGATGGAACTAGTTCTTTTGATTTAGAAATTGAAATCGATGGAACTAGTTCTTTTTGTTTAGAAATTGAAATCGATGGAACTAGTTCTTTTTGTAAACTCAACTACTAATCTGCTAGGAGTTCCACGTTTACTATGTGTTGATTATGCTCCTAGTTTGCCCGATCGAGTCAACTGGAACCAGTTTGCTTTAAAAGTCACGTTAGAGCCTGCTGTTCGCAGTTGGCTTTGCTTATCATATATATCGCTTCGTTGTGCTATTATTTCCATATAGTTTACGGACAACAAGCAAATACATCTTGGCAATAAACAAAAATTTCTTGACACACATTTGTTGTAGACAAAAATTATTCCGAAAAAATAATAACCATATAAAGACCATGTTATCGTTTGTCTTCTGGAGAAACGAGTCTAAGAGGAACCCGCGAGAGAATGTCTCGCAAATCTGGAAGGATTTGAATGCAACATTTGTGACGTAAGCAATAAAAATAAAGAAAGAGCGAGAGGGATAGAGACATCTAACATATGCCTGTTGCAGTTTTCTCGGCTGGAGCTGGCTGATTTACACCATTGCCGTTATTGTCATCTCTATTTGCGGCTACTTCGCCTACTGCGAAAGCTGCCGAAGAACTGAGATTGTTCGACGCAGACGCGTCATTCAACGCGCACAGGAGCGGTAAGTGAAAAACTAGAAATATAAAACTCACTTCTACGAATACCTATACGTAGAGAGAGAACCTGTTACACTGTTTAATATAACACTCAGAACCTTTGAAAATCGCATAGAAGAGACCTTCGTTATTGCACTTCGAGTACTAAGCGTCTTTTGCACCTCCTCCTCTTCCACTTTCCTTCAGCTTCCTCCTTCTCTTTCCCTTTTTCTTCCACTTCCTCATCCATCATCTCTTCCACCTCACCTACCATCATCATCTTCAAAATGCTCTTCCTCCTTTGCTTCCAATTTCCAATTTCCACCTATTTCACATCGTTCTCCTTGTCCTCTGCACCATCTACTCCTCTTCATTACTTTTCATTCCTATTTTCAAGCTATACATTCTTCAGAATCTTTTTAATACTTTTCCTCTTCATTCAGCATTTCTAATTTTCTTGTTCCTTTTCTTCTTCCTTCTCCATTAGGCTTTCCTATCCATACACCTCCTACTACATCACCTTCTTCCCTTATCGTATCTTGGTAAATTTCCATTTATAACTCCCTAACCCATTTCTCTGAGCGACCTAATTGGATCTGTTTATTTAGCTGCTTGTTTATCTCTATTTTAGACCACCTCAGAAACGACGTCCAAATGCTGCGTATCGCGACCATCAGATCTATCGACACATCATCCTCAGTGTGGCCAAGTATATGAAAAATCCGGAGGGCGTGCGGCCCTTTATCGACCACATGGACCATTTATATCCGCTGCGACACTCGCAGGCTGAGATGCAGCTGAACATCGGTCACACTGGCATTGAGGCAAATGATTCTGCAGTGGATTGAGCAAAGGAAATGTTGTCACCTGCTACTATTTTGACTATATTTTACCTTCCTTTTCGTTCAAATTATCGAACTACCCATGCGATCCATACTTTACACTGTAAATTTTGATAACCGCCCTCGCCCTTTTACGCCAACCATCATACTGTCTAAACGAATACAAAATTAAAGACAGACGCTCTTCAGTTTCGTATTCATCTTCTTTCTGTTTAGTTCATGCGCACTCGCCGCAGATGCGGCCTAAAAATATGCAATGGCTATTTATAACAGCAGAATCGCCGCCGCTTCCAGTCAGGCGACTGGAAAGACCAACAAATATAAACAAATGCCATGTGCGTTGAAAAAGCTCGGCGAAAAAAGCGTCGCACATAAACTAGGCGAAAGCTCAACTGTTCTCGCTCTCTGACTGTCTCTCTTCCTGTTGCGTGTTGTTGCAGGCGCTCGTTCCAGCACGCTCTCTCGTGCTCTTGCTCTCGTGCTTTCTCCCCGTTCTGTCTCTCGGGGCGTTAGTCCAATTGAAGTTCGATATGCTGGCCCAGTCGCCAGTCGCCAGTCAGACATTCAGCGCGTCGCACGTACGCACGCATCGAGCAGCAGCAGCAGCAGCAGCAGCAGCAGCAGCAGCAGCAGTAGCAGCAGCAGCGCGGGCGCGTTCAGTGGTTGTTGGAATCAGTCAGACACAAACACACACATACGCATACCAATACACCTACACACGCACACAGGCGTACAGCGGCCAGCAAACAAAATTTTCTGTTCTTTCTGTTCCGCTTTTGGCCAACAAAAAAAAAAAAAAACAAAAACGGAAAAAGTTTTTTCACTTGATTATTCTTTCCAACTATTTTGTGTGTCAACGAAAAACGGTGGAAAATAAAAGTAAAGGCAGGAAATTGGTGAAAATTTCCAATTTTCCGCAAGTAAATTATGCAAATTTATTTAATTAACTTGTGAATAATTGAAAAAAAGCAGATATAAGTCAAGGCGCACACCTGCGCACATGTTACACAGACACTCCGTGTGTATGTGTGCGTGTGTATGTGTGTGCGCGCTTGCTTGTGTGTGTGTTGAAGGCTAAGCGAGGCAGCAGCAGCAGCAGCCGAAGCACAAGAAAAGCCAACAAGTAAAACAAAAAAACTGTGGCATGTGCCCCAAAAACATTGGGGCAACATCAATGCCAGGTAGCACGTGTGTGAAAATTAAATGAAAATTGTGAGAATTACTTGAAATTTCAGTGTTATTAAAAAAAGGAAAACTAAACAAAAAATTTTTTCAGTGTTTCAAAAAAATGATAACTAAAACATTTCCAAAAAAAAACCAAAAAATAAATAGTCGATTTTTTATATAATTTTTATTAAAAATAATAATACTTAAAATATATATAAAAAGTTAAGTTAATTCGAAAGTTTTTGGATTTTTTTATTTTTAGTGTTTTTTATTTATTTAAATTAAATTAAATTGAAAATTTCAAAAAATTATAAAAAGATAAATTTATTCTATTTCTTAATTTATATGCATTGAAAAACTTATTTTCTTATTTGTTTTATGTTATTGAACATATCTTAATAAAAACAATTTTTAAAAGCCATCAAAGAAAACTTTGAAAACTTTCACAAAGGTTTTTAATTTCTATATAAAATAAATAAAATAAATAAATAAATAAATGAATAAATAAATAAATAAATCAAAGCTCAACATAACTTTTAAATTCATAAACAATTTACTTAAATACAATAATATAGTAAAGTTAACTGAAATATATAGCAAATAAAATTTAATTTTTATTTTAAATCTAAAGATAAAAAATTACGCATTTATGTAATTATATTGAAAGCTTATAAATTATTAAAAATTTATTTAAAATAAAATAATGCAAAATAACTGAATAAATGTTTAAAATTACCTCAATAAATTCAACTTGACTCATCTTATTAAGCCAGCTGTGCGCCACAGCGTGTTATCACTGTACTCCCACAAAAACCTGTCTAATGCCTCACACTTACATTTATCTAAATGTTATTTTAAGCCCAAATCTAAATAGTTTAAATATCAACTTTTTGTTATCTATAATTTATTTAAATACATGTATTAAAATATTATTTGATTGATTCATGAGCGTGAGCCGTGCCGTGCTAATGCGACCCGCCTACGCACCTAGACATTTGAATGTTTTCTCTGAACCGTTGCAGCCAAACAAAGTGATAAAGACAAAGTGTTCAAGACAAAATGTAATAAATATTTAACTAAATATACAACAACAGTAAATAACAACAAAAACACCAACAACAGCAGAAACCGAAATCAAATCAGTAACAAAAAAATAAAATATAATAAATGTTGAACAGCACTCAAAAGATGTCAAGTCAAAGGTGAGTATACAACACTGGCTGCAGCCATAGACACACCTAGAAACAAGTACCACACTCACTCACTCACATACACATACATCCTACCTCAACAGCAGCTAGCGAAGCAGCAAAGCAAAACATAAACAACCCCAAAATGCCCACAAGAGCCAAAGCCAAAGCCAAAGCGAAAGCCTAACGGTTCTAGCAGCCAAATGCTGCGCAGCAGCTGCGTCGACGTCTCCGCAGCTTCTGTGCAGCTGTGCCGCAAATAGGCAGCGCAAACAAGCAAATTTACTTGAAAAGCTCAATGCAAAAAATGTTTGGCTAGCGAGCAGAGACTGAGGTAGCGGCAGCGGCAGCGGCTGCGGGCACTGACAGAGGCTGAGGCAGTGGCAGCGCAGTCAGTAGCTAGTTGAGATTAGCAGCAGCAACCAAAGCCAAGTCGCTGCGTAAATATTGAAAAGCTCATTTGAGCAGCGCTGCCTGCGTCGCAACAGCTTAAGTGTTACATTTTCTCTCTCACACACACGCACACATGCATGCAACTTTGACAGGCATTGGCTTATCAATTGAAACAGATTTAACAGTGCATGCAAAAATATGATTATGAATATGATATGCAATATAAAGAAAGTAGCTTCTGAACTTTAATAAATAAACGAACTTTTCTTATTTAGATAATTCGCTTAAATTTGTATCTTTTTAGGGATATTGCATGCGTATCCTTTTCTCTCGCTTCGCTACATTTTACGAACAACTTTTGTTTTATAGGCAATTTGTCTTTTGTGTGGGTGAAGAGGGGGTGGGGTAGTCGTGCTACTGTCATAAAATTGAGCCGAGCCCAGCTGAGCTGCTGCTGCTGCTAGCGCTGGCGCTGGCGCTGGCGTGTCCTTGCGTCCTTATCTATAGCCGCTTTCTTCGGCTTTCTTTGCTTGCCCGTCAAGTTGTTTATTTTGTCGTAAATTTTTTGCTCAAGGACGAGCGACCGACAGGCCGAGTGAGCGAGCGAGCGACCGACCGCCCGTATCATAATCATGCCACTGACATGGGCCACTTTATCGATCACACAATGGGAAATTTCACACCTTGCCACCGGCTGTGGCACCACCAGCTTTCTGCTGCGCCCCACCTCAAGGTCGTCTTTGCTTGCCTTTTGCATAATTCAAGGGTCTTCAGATCGAAGCTAGCTCTCTCACTCTCTTGTTCTCTGTCTCCCTCTCTCTGTTTGACTGCTTGTGGCACAGTTGCAAGTTTTCACACATGGCTGGCTGCATGCAACATTTTGCGCTGTGCGTCCAGCGCACAAATTGCATTGCATACTTCAAGGCTAGCCTCTAATTTACATGCCAAATGGCGCATGCCACACACTTCCCTCGCTTTTCCACACATTTCCCTCTTACACTTTTCAATTTTTCTGCCGTTTTTCTTGTTAAGCCACCCTTTTGTTCTTATTACCACATTTATGAGCTGCGACGTAATTGTTTTTCTTACCACCCACGCTTTCAATTAGCCCAGCTGCAGCACAATATTCCACTGCATACATGACGTATTTATATATATATAAAAAAAATATATATATTTATATATATATATACATGTGTACATATATCTATATGCATATGTATTGTGAATTATGCATGGGTTTTTCTAGCGGTTTATTTACGATTGCTAAGGGAATAAACAACAAATGCTTAAGTAATTAAATCACGAGAAAATATATTTTTAAATATATGAAAAAGTGCTTTTAAAAATAATTAAATGCAAAATAACTACAAGAAAAATTAAAAACCTTAAAAAAAAATAAATAATATTTTTTAAAAATATATATACTAAACATTTATTCTGGAATATATAGAATTTGATATGAAGCGATATGCTGAAACATTTCGAAAGAAAACAGAGCTTATCATTCTAAATAATTAATATAGTCATTATCAGTGAACAAAACAAATTTATAAAGATATAAATCTTTATGTAATCAATGCATAAGTAATAAAATAAATTTAAAAAAAAATTTATTCTTATATTTTTAGTTATTAAATAATATTTTCGAAATTTGAGTTTATTTAAAAGGTGGTTTATAATAAAAATCTTCAAAAAAATGTATTGCTTGCTTTAATAAAAAAATTATTAGAAAAAACTTCACAAATAAAAAAATAAATAAATTATATTTAAAATTAAATTTAAAACAAAATTTAAATTTAATGTTTTTTATATTAAATAAATGTTTTTCTTTACTAATTTAAATAGCTTAGTCAGACGAGCTTGCGGACTTTATATAATTATAATTAATAATATATAATATATTTCATATAGTCCAATTATATAATCTAAATCGAAGTGCCTTTGGCCATTTATCATATTTAATAGCTACAAATATTCACTTAATTTCATTTTCCAAAGAGTTTAAGCACAAACGCTTTATAGATAGACCGCAACATAATATGCCCACACTTAGCTGATCAAATCGTAGCATATGTTTCGCTCTAAATACATATAGACATGTATATATAGCTCATTTATTATATATATATATATATTGATATATATAAATATATATATTCTTCGAGTTGAACGCGCCTACGCCAAGATTTACGACCGCAACGTGCGTTTGGGCCACGTCGCGTGTTCCGTTCCGTTCCCGCTGCTGCGGCCAGACATCTGTTATCACTGAGCTGAAAGCCAAAATGGGTATTAGAAAGTAAGAGTAAATGGTAAATACATAAAAACAAACCAAACACATATCTAGTATATGTTTTGTATATATCTAGTATACACACATGCCCAACAACTGAGTGCTAAATATAAAAACATGTGGGAAAAAAA